ATCTTCACCGTGTGGTTTTGACCGATGATCGAGCAGAGACTCCATGTAACAGTTTAACAAACCCGAAGAAGCTCAGTTTCCCATCAGTATGTCGAATCCAATCATGTAGAACCGAATGTACGGTTATTGATGGTCCAACACCAAGTTCCTGCAACTCAAAAACATGTTGGCTCTTTAAGACTAAGAGTATATATGTTGGTGTATTAGTCCTAAAGCACGAAAAGGTTGACTTACAGAAGCTAGTTCTTCAATGACGATAGCTCGGTTTCCATTCTTGTCGAAAAGCTCGTAAGCATGACGAATGCTCTGTTCCCAACAATCAAGTGACTCGTGCTGATGAATGTTTAAGGCAGCTGCGCAAAACTCTTCGAAATCCATTCCACGGTGTTGAAGTCCATTTAGCTGTAAAAAGGGATTAACACCAAAGTGTTTTAAGTATCTATCGAAATCCTAGAGAACACAGAGACATTTCTTACCAAAGAAAGAAACTCGGGGATCCGAGATTCCTTCATTGCTTCCGTTGCATTGCTTGCAAGTGCCTGTCCAAACAGAAAATGGTGATTGGATTATATTCTCTTTAGGGGAATCAAAAGAGAAGTTTTAAATGTTTACGAACCAATCTAATGTTCTCCAAAGTGATGAATCCATCTTTGTTAGGTGCGAGGAGGGAGAATTGAGTTTTCAGGTAAAGTATTTCATCCGTGATTAGCGTCTTGGACAGCGACTGTAGAAAGAAAGCACAACGTGAGAATGATCGTTTCGACACTTAAAAAAAGTGCTTAAAACATACCCTCAAAGCAGCTTTTCGTAATGAAGAAGATCGCAAGTACGCCTTTATCTGCCTAAAGATCAGAACATCGAAAGGGATATTCACGGTGTCCGAATTATAACCTCGGATCCAAGGATGCACTGAAAAAAGGTAAAAAGGAACTGCATTTGTTGATTTATGACTTCCAAAAAGAGAAAAGACATAAAATCTATAAAGAGCTGTGAAATTAAAAATAACTGACTCAAGGCTTGTGAGGCTGACATTCTTCTCCGAGGATCCTTATACAATAACCGCCTGACAAAGTCTTTTGCATCAGAGGACAAGAAGGGCCAAGGAGGCTCATCGAAACTCGGGTCAGCTTTAAGAACCGCTCTGAAAATCCCGGATTCGGTTCTTGCCCAAAACGGACGGCTACCACATAGCAGAATGTATGCAATGACTCCGATGCTCCATACATCTGCTTCTGTTGTATATGATCTGTGTAGAACTTCAGGAGCTACGTAGTACGCACTTCCCACTATATCGTTCAGTCTCTCATCTTTCGAAATAAAAGGCACGGAACATAGTTCAGTTTACTAATCCGAAGAAAAACATTTATGAAAAACAGTGACACAGTATAATAGGATGATGAACCTGGTCTAACAAAGTCTGATAAACCAAAGTCTATGGCTTTAAGCTGAGATGTATCCTCCTTGGAAGTATACAAGAAGTTCTGATGATAAAATAAACATTACACCGATAAACTTAAGAAATAATCGTCTTTCATATTCAACAAATAAGAACACAATTCACCTCTGGTTTAAGATCTCGATGAACAACTCCTTGTAGATGACAGAAAGCTACAACATTCAGGATCTGTATAAGCACTGGTTTTGCATCATTCTCTGAATATTTCCCTCCCCTATTAAAAAAAGACGATACTTATTTATACGAACAATCTTTGAGCCTATTTTTCGAAAACTCTTTAGTATAACAACACACCTTGCTAGTATTCTATCAAGTAGTTCACCACCTTCACATAGCCTGCAAATTCAAACTACTTCAATACTCGGAAAAAAACACCGACAAACTTAATATCGAACTTGATTCAACAACATCAGGCAATGAAATCTTCTTACTCCATCGCGATGTAGACGTGTGCATTGTCCTCAAATGCATCATAGAATTGAACCAGATTCTGATGTCCAGATAAAGCCTGTAGAATTTTCACTTCCCTTCTCACATCTTCAATAGCAATTGCAGTAGTCATCTACCAAAAAACAAACGAATCAAACACATTCTATTACTGTCAACTACACTAAAATTGAAGCAAGACAATCATCAAAGAGCAAGAAACTAAAAAGCTAATTTTAGGATTTGATAAAATGTCAAATTTCAAAACCTTAGATTTTGGTATGATCTTAACAGCAACTACTTGACCTTTAAGCTCTCCTTTCTTAAATTTAGCGGAACAAGTATACCCAAAATGCCCTCGTCCAATCTCTTCCCCTAATTCTACTCTACTGTGAAACTCTTTTGAAAAACCAAATCTTTTGTCAAGCCCTAATTCCTCTTCCTCCTCCTGCGGCGGAATCTCCGTCGTTTGCTGCGTCGCCGCCGACGATAAAGCAGCCTCCTTTTTTCCTCTCCTCCGTCGTAACGCCGCGCGTATGTGTTTCGCCGGAGATGGAGGATGAAACGCACGTCGTAAGTGACGGAGCGGCGTGCTGGTCACGCTCTTGCTCTCTCCTCCGCCTCCTCCGTCGCGGCTCTTATTCCGGCGGTGGCGAGCTGGGCTCGGAGTGTAGAATGGCAAGAAAGGAGAGGACTTTGCGACGGAAGGGGTAGAAAGTGGTGATTTCTCGGGATGGGTAGGGGCAAAATCGTCAATTTGAGGATAGTCGTTTCCGGGAAAGAAAGGGTTAGGTCTACC